GGGGGGGGGGGGGGGGGGGGGAAATATAGAAACATCTAGCTTACATCAATTACCCGGCAAGAAAGGAACCACTATAATTTTAAAATCTGGCTTTGATGCCATCGTCCTAATTCAAGAAAGCATAAACATTGCCACCTCAGAGAATTAGTTGCTTAATGGGCAGCTCAAGAGAGCGGATATAACAAAAAAGAGAATACGTTTGTACCTTTCCTAATCGAGAATGTGTTCATTGAGAATAATCCAAACTTGTGCGTGTTGGTTGCAATCATATAGAGGCTTACCTTTAAGGTTGCTTTCTCAGTGAGCTTTACACAGATATTCCTCCTTTTGAAGCATCAATTCTGTTCATCCTCATAAGAATCCGTTCCTTGGAAATACGAAATTATTGAAAGCAGCATTCTCCACTATGGGTAGCTTTATCTCCATTCGCCAAAGTGTTATCCAAATAAGCCCATCCAAGTCCTCGAAGTAACCTAAAACAGAAAGAATCCCAGTACTACGCATTCATCTGAGTAGAGACAAAGTTAGACAAAATTTAACACACAATAACTTGAAACTATGTACGGCGTTACCTATATACATATATTGATTACACACGTTCCATGTAAGAAGTTTGCTAATTGTTTCATGAAATCGGAAAATTCATTTTAGTTAGTAGGGTTTCTAAGGTGAAGAGAACTTGGGTAAGGTAGATGCATAATTGCATGCAAAAATAGTATACAGGGTTGAAACTAGGTATATAGAAAAATACACGGCAAGCCTCTCTAACAAACTAGAATAGATAAGGTAAAGGAGCTGCAGAGTTTGTATAATTATTTAACTACAGCTGAAGTGTATGTCCAGTTTATAGAAAAGATCACATACTTCTGCCCAGCCAACCTGTATGTCGATACTACGTTCACCGTTCAGGTTGGCGCTCCTTGATTTGGTGCTTTAGGTCAATTACAGAAACTGAGATGTTGTCACCACTCAAATGACTGAACACATTGCGGATTTGATTTGCAGCATATTGTGCTGGATAAATTCCATCATGAGCTCCACCAAACGCCAACTTTCTGTGTTGCCTCCTCAGTATGCTGCAAGCCTCTTCATCACATCATCATCAGACAAGATATCCCATACTCCATCACTAGCCAGAATCGAACACTCGTCTTCTTCAGTCCTTGACATAAATGTAACCTCATCTCAGATATAATCCACGGTTTAAGAAACAAATTCAAAACTAGAACAGTATGTGGGTGGAAGTTGCAAAAAAAAAACGGTGAGAAAAACTATGAGTATCAAGGATGATGAGCTTAGCGAGCAATGATTTTGTTGTTAAGCAAAAACAGAACCTTGAACAAGCTAGAACAGTAATAAAACTTGAAAACACAGGGCAACATAACATATTTATTCCCAGCTAGTTTAAATGCTTTTTTCCAGTGGCTTGAGACTTGGTGGATGATAAAAATTATTAACTTGACTGTTCAAAGTAAGTGTCAGGAAATAAATAGAACCAGATAACTAGTTATGACTAGATCAGATAATATGAAGATATGGGTCAGAAGAAACCTATTGCCCTGGTCATAGTCAATACTCCTTCGACCCTAGGGAAGCCCACAAACAGAATCCGCACTCCTCCCTTAACCAGTCTATCATATTCTTCTGGCCCACTAATCTGCATCGAAAGGGGAAAATACAAGAGTCTTAATATTAACTAAATATGTTGTGCAAATTTGTGCAGCCAACTGAAACATATGATTGGTCTTCACTTTATTTGAACATAAAGATTACAAAGCATAACTTAAACAAAGCCACAATCGCAATTGAGAAAATACTAATTTTGGAAGCATTAAGCGTTTGGCAACCATAATTTGCAACATGATACAAAATCAAGAACCTTCAAGGTTTAATAACTTCAAGTAAGATCAACAATGAGAACTTTAATGGAAAATAAACATAATCTGGTATAACCAGTTTATATACAATCTAATCTTTCCAATGCTTCAGATATTACTCTCACTTACCAATTTCAGAAATGGAGCAATAACTCAATAGGGTACGAGCAAGCCAAAGATAGAAATTATGTCGACAGAATTATACACAATAAGTGTAAGCCCACTGAACCCCACAACAGCCTTCATCATCTAGTTCCAACTCCAACCTATTCATAACTTTGAGGAGACAAATGGGAGAACTAAAAACTGATGAGGAATAATTTATTGCTTGTGGCGTACGTTTAATTGAAAATGTTATCTAATAATGAAGTCAAATTATAAATTGTGACCAAGTATAAAATTTCTGCAACATAAAGCGGGATGCACAGAATTTTAATTGAACCTTTTGGTCAACCGTCAAGGGGATGGCTTGACTCTGACAACAGAGCATTGAATCACCATAGTTGGCAACAATAATCTGGCAAACTGACAGAAGAACAACCAAAGCTGTAGATCCAACCGATTAGGGTGCTAGAGTCTCGTCCTTGAAAGCGTCATCAACCCTCTCAGAAGACTTTGTCAATGCAATTTTCCACCGTCCATTCTGACCACTGTCCGAGCCCCCTCTAACCCACTCTTCTGCTAATAATTCATGGAAGTTCTTGAACAAGATGTCCTCACCTGAAATGACCATTAAAAAGATTGGTCATAAATTTAGTAGTTTCTACAATCATATGCCCTAACTCCATATCAAATATCTATTCCTACACTAGCTTTTTAATTGGAAACCCATTCCTAAACACATTGATAAAATATCATAATTTACACTTAGAAGTATTAAGGGAATGGCCACAGGTTAGAACAACAATCTTTCATTAAAAACAGCTTGAATACACAAAAGTATAAGTATATTAGTTCATATAAAAAAACCAAACCAAGGTGAGAACTATCTTTAAATGGGTTAGCAATGCCTTCGGTTGAGGATTATTGGGAGTGAATCCCACATTGGTTAATTTAGTGGAAGATCATGGGTTTATAAGTGAGAAATACTATCTCCATTGGTATGAGGCCTTTTGGGGAAGCCCAAAGCAAAGACATGAGAGCTTATGCTCAAAGTGGACAATATCATACCATTGTGGAGAGTCGTGATTCATAACATGGTATCAGAGTCATGTCCTAAACTTAGTCATGTCAATAGAATCCTCAAATATTGAACAAAGAATTGTGAGCCTCGAAGGTGTAGTCAAAAGTGACTAAAGTGTCGAACAAAGGGTGTACTTTGTTTGAGGGCTCCAGAGAAAGGAGTCGAGCCTCGATTAATCGAGAGCTCTATAAGCCTACTTTATTCGAGGGGGAGGATTGTTGATGATTATTAGGAGTGAGTCCCACATCGGTTAATTTAGTGGAAGATCATAGGTTTATAAATGAGGAATACTATCTCCATTGGTATGAGCCCTTTTGGGAAAGCCCTAAACAAAGCCATGAGAGTTTATGCTCAAAGTGGACAATATCATACCATTGTAGAGATTCGTGATTCATAATACTCATAATACCTCCTTAGTTCACGGTTAACAAATTCTCTCATTTACAGGAAAGCCACTCAGTAATTAAGTGGGGAACCTGTGTAAGTCGTTTGTGATCAAACGCCTCAAAGACTCTTAATTGAATTGCCTGATTGTAATAAATACAACGAAATGAGTTCCTTCTATAATCTAAAATTGAACCGAAACATAATGCTAGCATTATCTCAAGTGTGATTGCAAAGCAAAGCAAACCAGGGGTCGTCAATGACGCTTCCACGAAACCTTTTTAACATGTCCTCAACTAAATCCTACATGCAACGACCTCCATGAATTACTCTCTGCTAACGATCTCATAAAAAATGTCATTGAAAATAACCATATAGCCTCGATTGAATTCTTCAGAGTTGCACTAACAACCTATCAAATCCATTTAACGATATTTCCCTCCGGAAAGTTGTCGAAAACACTCCCGCCTATAGATGAGCAAGAAGCGAAAAGAAAAGTTCACAACGATACTCGAAGAGGAAAACGGACGAACATCGAAAAGAAACAACGATCAAAAGAAGAGAAGTCAAAATTCTTCATTACAAAACGTTACTGGCGAAGAAAACGCAACCGATGAAAACAGAGAGAAATACCTCAGTGAGATGCGATCATACGCAAAATGCGAGGAGCTGAATGAAAACTAAACCATAGTACAGGTAGCGAAACAGGGCTCAAACTCGGAAGTACGTGCTTTCGATCGCGCGCAATATTTAAGAAGATGACCATTCTACCCTCTCCGTTTCTTTATCACGAGTGCACGACATGTCGCTATTCAACGGAAAATCGACGCGTCGACTGGAAAGTCGTAACTTCCATTACGTTGGATTAGACCTGGTCCAGACCAGGCATAGGCCCATTTGAAGATGGCCCAAAACAGACATTTTAGACCTATTGGGCCGAATCATCTAGTTTTGGGCCTAATCATGACCCATTATTGTTCTTTTTTCCAATAGCCTCCCTGTTCCACCTTTCTTTCAGAATTGAAAATTTTCATGTTAGTTTGAGGATCAAACAAATTGACATCTCATTGTTTATCCACTAAGTTAACACTTGAACTGACATCTCGTTTTTTGATCTTGCTCGTCTACTATTCATTTTCATTATTAAGAATTCTTCTTAAAATAATGGTGAGATGTCTTTGACCTAAACATAATCCGATCGTGCGTGCTTAGAATGACTCAGTGATTTATCCTCTAAGTCATTCTCGAGTTGATACCTCATTTGGTCAATTTCTTAGAATAACTGTTAAATGTGCAACCCCAAGCTAATTCAATTGTTAGAAGAAAATAAATAAATAAAATTTCAAATGTTTTCCAATATTTAAAAGCTAAAATTAAATGTCTCATGGCACAGAATTTAAATAAACCAACTCGATAGTTTTAAGTTATTATTAAAGATAACGAAAAGAAGTACCTGAAATAATGAACCACCTGAGAATCTTTCTCCTCCGACCCATCATCTTTCCATCACACAGGAGATAGAAACTCTTCAATTACATCCCTTACCTAATTAATCCAAAACCTCCCCAAAATCTCAAGTCTATCACGCCCATTGCACTCATCGAGCCACTGCCACTCTAACAAGTGGCAGTCGGCCTTCCAGCGCCAGCATCTGTTAGGGATTCACCGGAATTATTGGTGATAATTCCGATAAGCACTTGACTTTAGAAGGCAACCAGATAGAAAGATAGGTTACAGATAAGAAAGAGTATGTTAAATGTGGAGAAGTGGTTTTTGCTCTAGCTAAAACGTGGAAGAAGGGATGAAGTGTGAGATCTCACATCAATTGGAATGGAACGAAACATTCCTTACAAATATGTGAAAACCTCTCCCTAGTCGAACCATTTTAAAACCTTGAGGGAAAATCCAGAATGGAAAGCCCATAGAAGACAATATCGACTAGCAGTAGACTTGGGCAGCAAGGATATTGGGCCTCCAATGGGAGGTGAATTGCAGTTGAAGAGGGAAAGAAAGAGGGTGTGGAAACCCCTCCTAATTAGAGGGATTTTAAAACCTTGAAAGGAAGCTCTGAATCAAAATCCAGTTACATTTGACCATGACCGAATATTGGAAGACAGATGGTCAAGGAACACTCAATAGAAGAACAGCTTGATAAAGGAAGACAATATTAAGAAGAAAACAAAAAACAAATCAACCAAATCAAAATTCTTAATTTAAAACACAAGTTAAGATGAAACAACAGGTGTAGTACACCAAGGAATGCATGCCTAATTGCTAAAGTTGGTCATGACGAGGCTCTTGGCGTTAAAGAGGAACCACCCATACAATACAAATAGGCAGTTCTTCATCACGCTCAGCTGTAAAGGAATTAATTGTAGGAGATATGATACTAAAAGTTAAATCCAGAAAAGAAGTGAAACGGAAAGAACTGGACGGTTTATATTTCAGCACTTGAATAATTCTTGACTTTTGTTAAAAGAAAACAGTAGAATTGTTCTTCCTTGCCATATTTACACTATTCAGAGACAAAAACAACAGTGGGGTCCGCATTCCTACAAAAACCAAATTCTCTTATTCCAGCGTTCCTGACTTTCAATGATCATGCTCTAAATTGAAAAATCAGACATATTCAATATAAATTCAATGTGCATTCAAGTCCAAGTGTTCATATATGGAGCAGTGTGTGAACAAAAACAATTAATCCAAAATTGATTTCATAGAGATAAACGCACCTGACCTCATTTCTGGTTATTGAAGATGGCTGAAGCAGGGCTGAAGCAAGCGTTCCCATCTTTGGGGCTGTAGCACTGAACCTGCCAGACAACCCAAAGAAAGAAATGCAAAAGTGGAATTACCAATCAATTCCTTGGTTAGAAAGGATCGATACCTAAAAAGGGTACAAAGAGTTATCAATAAAATCAAGTTAGGATCGGATCGGCTAATTTAACATATTTATTACATATCTATTTGTTTACAGTTACAAAGAATAGATATACTTAAAGAACTTTCTCTAGCCTACTTGATATCAATAAAAACACCCACACTACGGACTTCTCTAAGAAAAAAACTAATTTAAGGGTGTCATTTTACAAGAAAAGCTCGTGATGCATGAAGAATTCTCCCTCCTTCATTTCAAAGAGCTTAGATTGTATCATTGTCGTCCTTGTTAAAGTTTGAACGACTAACTGGAGTTTTAGGATGGAAAGCTGACTGTCTCAAGCCTTCGCCTATCAATCTTAAGGACAGGGGCGAATGCTCTCTATGTTCTCCTTCATGCTCTCGTAGAGTGAGTTGAGACAAGCCAACTAGTTCATCAACATTGACAGGTTCCTTCGGCACGACTGGAATTGGCCTTAGGACCTCATGATGACACATTTCTACACCCTTTTCTTCCTCCATTGGGAATGTACTTGGTGCCCAAATACGGAAAGGTAAAGGCATATAAGCCGGGATGAATCCTGGTATCATATGTGGGAAACCAGCAACTTCCATCTTAGTTGCATCGAGTTCGTTTCCATTTTCTTCAACTGTAGTTTCCATCATATGGAACTCTGAGTTAAGTGAGAGATTTAGTGAAGGTTGGGAACTTGAATTCTCTGTTTCTTTTGCCTGAGAAGCATGTAAAACCTCATCTGCTGGCATGGGCAGCGGATCAGATGCCTGCGGAACAATGAAACGAAGAAACTCAAAACCTTATGAAGAAAAAAATGTGCCATGCTAGTAGATACGCTTGTTTAGATCCAATATCCAGATGCATTATGAATAAGGACACCAATCTTTCAATTACAATATACAAGACAATGACCTACGTGACAAGAAAAAACTCTAACAGAAACTAATATGCAAACTCAACAGAGAAGTACGGGGGTTGCCAATAATAAACTAGCAATGTAAGAGTTCAAGACTAACCATCTCCGGAACCATGTCAAAGAGGCTCGACCTTCGCTTTCTTCTTGTTGAATTACTCTGCCGAATGAAATACTTTTGGGCATGGCTTGCCACCTGAGTTGGAGTCCTCGTAATAACAAAATTCCGAGAAATTCCACGCCAGTCTCCTTTCCCCAATTTCTGCAGACCAACTAAGAATAATCGATGCTCCTCCTCGGTCCATGGAACACCTAAAAACATAGTTTACGGCATCAAACAACAGTAATATGATACCTGATCCAATTATTAGAACTCCAATGCATTAAGAGAATATGCTACTGTTTGATCACTGTTGTCGAACTCCGTAGTCATATTGAACAATAAACGCTCAATCTCGTTTGATCCCAGAATTGTAGACTAAACAAGAAAAACACATCTGAGATTCCAGTATTGTCCGAGTTCAACAAATGCAATGGAGGTTACAAGTTCGACAATAAAAGTGAAAACAGAGACTTTTACCAACCAAATTATAATAGCCAACAACAATCAAACGACAAATATAATTATTTCCAAAGCAATTAGAAATGAAACTAGGAAATGTAGCATCCAATGCAATACTTACCACATCAAGAAACCTAATGGAGTTCCCGTCCCCGCCAACCTCCTCTTAGACCTATTAACTTAAAATACAGTTATTATCAAATGTCAAGCCAGTAAAGGCATTCTTCCTCTCTTCAACCTTCCATGGCATTCATTACAGTAGCCACTGGAACTAGAATGTAAATTGTGTCTAGCCATTGAGAGAAAAAAAATAAGGCTCATATGAAAAGGCCAGCAGGTCATTGCTTCACAATGCATACTTAGAAAGCACTGATTCATAATCTTTCATCGAATTGAGAATCTCAATTGTTACAAAACACTAATCTCAATTGTTATAACAAACTACTGGAATTTCATTATCGATTACCAGATCAAGAGAATTATCTTGACCATTGTTTTTACTTATCTCCTTCAACCTCAGATAGGTTTGCTTCTTTAAGTAAAGAACTTGTTGGTATCACTGATTTTCAAACTACTATGGTGTTGCGTCCTCCGTCATTGGTTTTCAATGAAATTCTTCCTAGTCAAGTGATTGATGCATCAGAATTCGTAACAAAACTGGAAAGAATGACGGAACCGATCAAAAGAAAAAAAGAAAGAAATAGCCACGCAAATCACCCACGCACGAAGCATTTATCAGAGAACAGACATGAAATCCGTCACAAATATACGGCGACAAGCGATTGTGAAACAAATCAATTAAACTCTAGAACACGGACATCACCATAATTGCCTTAACCAAATCACGAGGGAAATCAGGTCCGAAATCCTCTCAGAAACAAACGTTTCAGGACCAAAACATTAACGTTACGATTCTGAAACTGTTCATCGGTTACCTTTCTTCCTTTCACCCCGACGATTAGTGGAGCAGGACGCATGTGTAGGATCATCGGACAAAAAGCCATCGGTATCATGAACAGGATCAGAGTTAGGGGAGTCAGGATTGGGCGAGGCAGCGGCTGAAGAAGAACTATGGTAATGTACAGAGAGGTTACCCATGCTGGCGCTTTTCTTGATGAAAGACCCGTCCGTGAGCCTAACCCCAAATAGCTTAACACCACAACTGCCGCCGCCGCCGCCGGCGAGGGCAGCACTGCCAGTTCTGCCGCTGCGGGAGGGGCAGGTTCGGGAGTTATGGCCATTGTTGCTGCAGTGAGAGCAACGCCGAGTCATTGCGATCCGTGACCCGGCGAGTCAGCCCAGTAGAGCACAAATGGAAAAAATTGTGGAATTCAAGATCGTGAGAAGTGAAGATTAAATAAGAGAGAGGTTTGATGAAGAAAAAGAGGATTTTTAGGGGAAAATCAAAGCTCCGATTAGCCAAACGCGGGTGTTCGTTGGTAAGACTATGACCATTTTATCCAATAACGTATTTTTCTGGCCTCTCCCTTATTCTTATTATTATTATTATTGCTTAATTTCAATCTCAACCATTTATTTCTACCTTATTTTATTCCCTTTTCTTTTTTAAACTTTTAAAAAATATGTTTTAATGTTTTTGTTTTTAAATATAACAACACAAATAAATTTGAACATATTTATACTCTTTTTTTTTTTTCTAATTATTAAATCAAGTGGAATACGTGAATGAACTGAAATTGCATAGAATCTTCCTAATAAAATAGTTAAAAAAAAAATTAATAATTAAAATTATCGTACCAACTACTTATACTGTTTTCCATGGTTTCCAAAATAAAATAACAATATTAGCAACCTTCAATTTGGTTTTAACTTATTTATATTCTATATCTTTAAAGTTAATATTATTATCATGTAAAATGTCGTTATTCAGAGATAATTTAAAATATTATTCTTATACGAAATTTTTAACTTTTGATATCTTAATCCACACAAAATTAAAATAAAATATTCTTTCACTAACCTAATTAATAATTATATTTTTCTAATCACTTCTTATCCACTTCTTATCCACTCCTTTTTGTTTAGACTATATATAAAAGGCAGGTTGAAATTCATTTTTCATTAATTAATTTATTTAAACTATTAATTAATTAACTTTAAAATTTACCTAAGATTATTCTATAAAAACTAAATCTTTAATTTAGGGCATTTATGGTTACTTTTATTCTTTTGAAGTCTAATTGATAATAAATATATTTAATATAATTCGTTTGATAAATGTGGTTTGAATTTTATGATTAATATTTTTTTTTAGGGATTAAACGGATTATTTAAGTAACAATTAATTTTGAAATATGACATCTCTCCCTAATAAATATTGAAGGTTGGATATTTCAGAAATTTAATGCATTAAATTGGAATTATATAACTCAAGTTTTATTTTTCTATTCATTTAAATGCATGTGTAGTTTTTTAAATTATTTATAATTAAAAATACAAAACGTTTAAGTATTAATTATAATCTTGAGCTATAATAAATTATTAGGTGAGTTTATTATATGAGAAAACCTTTATTTATTATTATTATTAATTATAATCTTGAGCTATAATAAATAGATAATGCTTTTTGTTTTATTTATTATTATTAAAAAAAGAAAGGGGGATAAGAGTAGGTAGAAGGGTGAAAAAAAAAACAAATATATTATCGTGTAGGACAGGTAAACTGGTACGGACACGTGAAAAGCGGGACATGAACTCATGAGTTTCCAATTGGTTGCCACGAAACCAACCCCGCCTTTTTTATATTTTCCACGAAGAAGGAATAAATAAATACTTTTTTTTAATTAATTAATAAAAAAATAAAAAAATAAAAAATCTGGTGGTGTAATTTACAAGAAGCTAGATGTGTACGCAGTCTATTGCTTGTCAACGCTTGACCGTCGTTTCTTTTCTCTCTTATTCCCAGAAGTTTCTTCCACTTCCATTACACATATTTTCAATGATTTTTATTATATATATATATAAAACTCCTAACTGGTGCCTACTTATTTTTAATTTCAAAATATTTATTTTTAATTTATTTAAAAAAAGACTCTTCGTGTGAACCTAAATTTGCATGATTAATTGCATGCATCTTATTTTTAATTTAAAACCAGAAATTTATAATTATTTTAATTTCAAAATATTTATTTTAGTCTATATATTTCAAATTTAATTTGCTTGGCTTCATAAATTTTGTAATTTGGAAAGATATTTTAATTTAATCTATAAATTAGCAAAATATTTATTTTAATCTATATATTTCAAATTTAATAATAAATTTTGTAATTTGGAAAGATTTTATTAACGTGGGGTCGAAGTATTTTGAAGTTTAAATACTAAAATAAAAAATAATGAAAAAAATGAAATAAGTATGAACTAAAAATAAAATTTAAATATTAATACAAGCATTGTGTTTTGAAATACAGTTTATCTAAAATATATTACCCTTGATTATAGGCTAATATCTTTTATAGTCAATAATATTTACATTACAGTTTAGTTATCGTAATTGACCCTTGATTATAAGGACTAACATGGTGTATGTGTATCATTTATTGCTATTTCCATTTATTTTGACTCAATGAAATAGTGAAAGAATTAAAGTCCTTTGTTGGGTAAGATGTATGAAGTTTTACGGACCATATGTATACACATGCTTCTCATCCCATCAAAACTTACAGGACGACAGAAGTTGGTGGGAAGAACACAAATGATTGACAAAAAAAAGGGAGGCAAAACTGGGGAAACCTTGGCAGCTTCACCGATAGTTTGGGTAAGAAGGAGTGTACATACAGCTCTCGGCATGCTTCACCAAGTCCTTTGGTTGAGGAAGGCGACCGGCCAAACCAAGTTCATAAGCCTTTGCAGCTACTTTTGCTGCAATATTTGCTGAAATCTTTCTGATGTTGCTGAATGGAGGGAATATGAGTCCCTTGCCCAAGTTCTCTTGTGTAACCTGTGCAGCAAGAGCTTCCGCTGTTCCAACAAAACAATGAAGTTAAAGAACAGATTGAGAATCATCTTTGGAAGAGACAAGAGGTTACGCAATATCAGAACAGGTTACCACTTTGATGGATGGTATCATAATTTGTAAGTTAAGTCTATTGATCATTTTGAATTGTGTTTATGTGAGATCCCATATTGGTTAGGGGAGGAGAACGAAACATTCTTTATGAAGGTGTAGAAACTTCTCCCAAGCCGACAAGTTTCAAAAACATTAAGGAGAAACCTGAAAAAGAAAGTCCAAAGCGGACAATATCGACTAGCGGTGGACTTGGGCCGTTATAAATGGTATCATAGCCACAAACCTGGCGATATGCTAGCGAGGAGGCAAAGCCTCGAAGGGAGGTGGACATGAGGCGGTGTGGCAACAAGAACGCTGGGTAGATTGGGGGGTTCCACATCGATTGGAGAAGGGAACATGTGCCAACAAAGACACTGAGCTTTGAAGCCCACATCGGTTGAGGAGGAGAATGAAATTTTTTTTACAAGGGTCTGGAAACCTTTCCCTAACAAACACGTTTTAAAAATCTTGAGGGAAACTCGAGAGAGAAAGCCCAAAAAAGACAACATCAGCTGGCTAGGTTGTTACACTATCAAATTCAAATTCATGAGCTCATCAAGTCACTTTTGCACTTACAGGCTGCTAGGAGCATGTCATCACGAACACGGATGGTACCGGACATGATCAATCCAAGACCAAAGCCAGGAAAAATATAAGCATTATTTGCCTGAATAACAAAGGAAAGCAGTAATAACGTGAGACCTCGCACATCACCATGAAAGGGTCAAATGAATGTATAAAGACCTGTCCAGGTACAAAGACATTTCCGTTGTATTCAACAGGGTCAAATGGACTGCCGCTAGCAAAAATGGCACGGCCCTGCAAGAGGAAAAGGAACCATATAAAATGAAGTTACCATCGACAAAACGACAACTAGGACGTAGAATTGTGTGTATGTAGTACCTCAGTCCATGTATACGCCTCTTCAGCAGTGCATTCAGACTGAGAAGTGGGGTTTGAAAGAGCAAGAATAATTGGTTTCTGCAACCCACAACAAAGTTATGGTCAATATACTCTCTTATGAATCTGGTTGGTTTTCCAAATAAAACACCTTGTTAATGGCGGCCATCGCCTCCACGACGTCTTTAGTGAATGTCCTTCCCACGCCTGATGTCCCAATCAACACTGTTGGTTTGATATCCTGAAAAGAAATGGGAACTTTCATTGGTTTGTGCAAAAATTTGAATGGAGATGGTAAGAAAGAGACCTTCACAGCATCAACAAGATCTTGAATTGGTTGGTGCTCGTGTGCCCAAGGTTTCTTGAAGTGTTGGAGTGACTCCTTGCGAGAACTAACAATGAGACCCTGGAAACAAGAAGATTAGCACTAGAAAAAGGAGGAACTTCCTTTCATTTTCTTTTGAACTACCTTCGAATCGACCAGCCAGATTTTCTTGCGAGCATCTTCCAAAGGGGTATTCGTCTACAAAATGAATTCGAGTTAGTTTTGTTCATGTGATAACCTTTAGTGGTTCTGACAACAAATTCTTGGTAACCGTCCAAGACCACTACTAGCAAATATTGTCCACTTTGGTCCGTTACGTATCATCATTAGCCTCACAATTCTAAACGCGTCTACTAGGGAGAGGTTTCCACACCCTTATAAGGAATATTTCATTCCCCTCTCCAACCGAGGTAGGATATCACAATCCACTCCCCTTGGGGGACATCCTCGCTGGCACACCATTTGGTGTCTGGCTCTGATACCATTTGCAGCAGTCCAAACTCACTGCTAGCAGATATTGTCCTCTTTGGATTTTCCATTCCAAGCTTATCCTCGAGAATTTTAAAATGCGTATGTAGAGAGAGGTTTCCATACTCTTATAAGAAATGTTTTGTTCCCCTTTTTAACCAAGGTGAAATCTCACAACAAACAAGTATTATATGGCCATTACCTTTTTGAACATCTCTAAAGCAATGAGTTCTGCAATCCCTGTGCCAGCCTACAAGCAACAAACATGGGAAGTCAATCGAGATAGTTTACTATTAAGAGAGAGAGTTTACCATTAAGAGAGTTGATATGGCTTTAGATACACAACCTCTCCAGCGCCAAGAAATAGGAATTTATGGTCAGCCAATGTTCCACCAACTAGATTCAGAGCTGCAACAAGCCCTGCAAGGACCACGGATGCTGTCCCCTGTTGAGTAATAGTTCATACATTAGAATTCCAGTTCTGAAACGTAAACTAAAACTCTGGGAATCACTTAATAATAACCTGAATATCATCGTTAAAAACAAGGTGAGTCTTGCCATATTTTTCTAACAGATCGAAGGCATTGTGGTTAGCGAAATCTTCAAACTGGCAATATGGTAAGCCAATATCAGAGCCAGAGAACCAAAAGTCCAAGAAGAAGAAGACTTGGTTTATATTGTTGTCCCACTACAACTGTACCTGAATGAGAATTTTCTCTCCATAATTCTGTTTGACTGCAGCCATGAATTCGTGCACAAGCTCCTTGTATTCCTAAAGCAAGAAAAACAAAGGCGAAAACTTCACTATTATCACAAACCATAGGCTGGGTAACCAAATACTACAAACCTGACCAGTAGCCCTCTTTTGCCTGAGCCCAATGTAGAACTCATCATTCAACAGCTTGTCATTGTTCGTCCCGACGTCGATCGTCACAGGCAAGCACTGAAACAATATAACTTTGTGATAAGATAACAATTTCATTATTCCCGGTAAGAAAGTCAAAACATGTCTTGCGCATTCATCTATACAGCTTTCTGAATTCAGAGCTTTTGTGATAGAATTCAAGACACTGGGCAGTGCCCGCTGGCACTGGACTCTCAAGGGAGGTGGATTGTGAGATCCTACATCAGTTGGAGAGGGGAACATCGAGAACGCTGGCCTCCAAAGGGGTGAATTGTGAGATCCCACGTCGATTGGACTGGAGAACAACGAGAATGCTGGCCCCCCAAAAGGGGTGGACTGTGAAATCTCACGTCAGTTGGAGAGGAGAACAATGAGGATGCTGGGCTTCCAAAGGGGGTGGATTGTGAGATTTCACATCGATGGGAGAAGGAAACGAATCATTCCTTATAAAGGTGTGAAACCCTCCCTAGTAAATGCATTTTAAAATCTTGAAGGGAAGTGCAATAAGAAAAGTCCAAAGAAGACCATATCAGCTGGCGGTGAGTTTAGACTGTTACATACATAGTTCCACGAACAAAGGAATAAGATAGAAAATACTCACTGCAGAAGGACGAACACCGCCAAGAGCACTATAGAGGGAAAGCTTTCCAACTGGAATCCCCATGCCCTGAAGTATTCCATCAAATTTAAGAACTTAAATAGCAAAAAGGCAACAGTAATCATAATCCACAGCTATACCTGGCAGCCAAGATCACCCAATCCAAGGATCCGTTCACCATCAGTAACAACAATGACTTGAATACCCATCTCAGGCCAGTTTCGCAAAACCTCTAAGATCTTCCCTCTGCACAGAAACTTCTTAGTCTAAGTGTAACAGTGACTAACATAAGAACAGTGAAAGGCTACGCTTAACCATACTTCTCCCTCAAACTAATATAAAGACCCTGTGGCCGCCTGAAGATGCTTCCATATTTCTGGCATGCTTCTCCTACAGTTGGAGTATAAACCACCGGAAGCAACTCCTCAACATGCTCAATCAGAAGCTTATAGAACAACTTTTCATTGCTTTCCTGAACAAAGTAAACATAATTGATCAACTCAAATAATTGATCGTCGTTCTTGAGAATGGTGCATTTATAAGTAAGAAATACATCTCCATTGGTATGAAGTCTTTTGGAAAACCAAAAATAAAATCATGAAAGCTTATGCTCAAAGTGAACAAATCATATTATTACAAAGAGTCGTGATTTCTAATGATCATCACCAATAACTTTGCAAGTAAAAACTTACTATTCCATCTAAATCTATTTCTCAAAAACTCTCATTAATGACAAAATATCTGAGGCTATCGTGAAAAAGGGGTCATTGCTACCTGAAGATCCATCATGGCCATGTATTTCTGCAGAGGAACTTGATACTGCCGTATCCTGTACAAAAACTTTTTCACCTGACATTTGAGAGGCAAATAATTTAAGCTCGGCGACCCAAAATTGGCCTCAGAAAAATGATTGGAGATCACATAGATAACCTGAAGATCTTGAGAAATGACAGTAGGAGGCAAAAGACCACGCAAGTAGTGAGTATCTCTTTCTTTATCCGTGAAGGCTAAACCCTTATTGTGATGTGGGTTTCGCAGTAAATTATATCCACTAGAGAATATATGAACAATTATGATCATGATTGAAGAAAGTAATGAAGATTCAAGAATTGAATATGATTTTCCCTCACCTAGCAACAGAGACGGTCCAGGGAGTGACCCCCTGATCCTCCATGGCCATGACCTCGCCGTAGAGGTCAAGAATCCCATCGTTAACGGCGGAAACGGGGTCCAACTCAAGAACCGAATCCTTCAATGAGCTCTCCATCAAAACCCTGTCGTTTCTTTCTGATCTCACAGAAGAAAGCTTCAACGATTCCGAGTGCCGTTTCAGAGATAGAGGACTACAAGAACTGGAAATGGGCGTCTTATTCTGTTCAAACAAAATCCACAAGATTAGCAAAGAAATGGAAGAAACCAGTGGATTAGAAAGAAAACATTCCAAAGAATAGTTTGGTGGGGAATGAGTAGAATGTGTTGCTACCAGAAAAATGCATCGATTCAACGAAGCCATGGCGAAAAACTCGTGGAGGAATGAAAATCTTTTGGGCGTAGAAACAAGTGGGTGCGAGATTAACCGGGAGAAACCAATGAGAGAGTCTTGAGGAAGCGAGACGAGCGAGGGCGGGAACTGTTTCTTATGCGTTGCAGAAAAAATGTGCGCAATCCATGCACCCAATATGTGACGCTTACAATTACTTATACAACTGATGATGATTTGAGTATTTTTTAAAAGTTTGTATTATAGTTTTCGAATTTTATATAAATGTGATCATCTTAGATGGTCACGATCATTATAAGATTTACAATGATTTGAGTAATTTACAATATTTTTTTTGTAAATTTGGAAGCAATTCATATGTTCGTGATTGTAATGAATTTGTCGTTTTTTTTACTATTTAAAAACGAGAATTAATGTTTTGTTTTTTTTTGGCACTATAAGATGTCAAATTTTGGATTAAAAAAAAATAGATTCTATTAATTGGAAATAAATATTTGAGAGCGATTCATTATCTGAGTTATTAGGTTACAGATTTCGGTTCATAAAACTAGAAAACTTTTTATAGAACTTTAAATTTAAAATATATATATATATATATAATAAGCTCTTAGAAAATTAGAAAACTTTAAAAAATAATTATTTTATATTTAAAAAAATTAAAAGTTCAAATATTAAAGAGTTTAGGATGATTGGACATTTTTTTTAACAAAAGGAAATTTAAAATGAAATTTTGAGATGATATTAAAAAAAAAAAAACTATTTTATTTTTATTAAACTAAAAAAAAAACTTTAACAAAAGGAAATTTTGTATTTAAAAAAATGATATTGAAATTTAAAATTATAAAAATAAAATTCGAATTAAAAATGTAATTTAACATATTTTTAAAATTTGTAATTGTGTAGCTCGTAAGGAGGAAAGTCCGAGTAATATGTCCCAATCCAAGGAGTAGACTTTCTTCTTCTAATCACTTCTCTCTACGCTCTGCATAATTTCTTCTGTATTTGCCGATGGAGTATCGGAATTCGTCAAGGGATTTGGATGATTCTCCATTCTAATTCACATTAGCTGAGGCAAGTTCTTATGCTATGCTTGAGTTTATGTCTTTCAATCGATGCTTCCGAGTCTAGTTTCCCTGTTCGAGTTATGTGCAGAACTTCCTTACTGCATTTTCTGATTTGAAATTGCCGATTTCGATTTTGTATTTCCATTTACTGTGCCGCTAATTGTACAGATTGTGGAGATTGATAATATCTTAAAGGACTCTGAAGATCGAACACTTGGTCAAGTGTTTTTCCAGGATTTCGCACTTCATTTCAGGTTGTAGTGTGCAATTTTTGTAAAGCTTCGATCGCTTCTTCAAACGAGTATTTGTGCAATCTATCATCGTGTCTTTCCTTTCATGCTTGCTTTTTCTGCAGTTGCTCCCCTAGGCGCGCTAGAAAATCTCCCGTCACTGCGGTACAGGTCTTCGATTTTTTTCTTATCCGTTGTGTCTGTTGATATTGGATAATTCTTATCTGCCTAGGTGCATGACTGGTTCGAGAATCAGAAAAATTAATTGTACTTAATTATTCGGATACTACTTTTTTAACTGACGCACCGTCATCTGAACCACCTGAATTCAAAGGTAAATTCCGCATCATTGCCGATGAGTTGTAGAAATTCTATCTGAAGTGCTCCTTTGGATTGCCAATGTGCTTCGGTTATTGGTTTATGCATAGTTTTATATCTTTTGGCTCTACGATGGTTTTGTTTTATTATCTTGCACGACACGAGGCTGGTAGAGGGAGGGGCTGCACATTGATTGGTAACTCATTCGTGCCTAGAATTATTCAAGTTGCTGTGTGCACGATGATTGGTAATTTATTTGTGTTGTAAATTGTCATAAGTTTTGATTTGATTTGGTTTTTGGATTATATTTGATTTGGTTATTTGAATTAGATTTGATTTGGTTATTTGAATTAGATTTAGTCACACCAGGGTTTAGTTATATATAGGGATTTGATATTAGAATTTGGTATCGGAATTTGGGAGAGCTTTCGGAGTCACATTGTATTTGTTGAGTGACATGTGTTCTGAGTCTTTGTAGTGTGATAGTGAGATATTCACTTGTAATGCTTTGGTTTATTAGTGATTGGTTCGTGGATGCAGGGGAACTTCTCTCCGAACCACGTAAATATCTTAGTGCCTCTTTGTGTAAAATCGTTCATTGGTGTTGTGAGTACCTTTGTTCCGCTTTCGGCGCACAACAAGTGGTATCAGAGCCAAGTTGTGGTATTTTGGGGTATTGTGAAAGCTTGGGCCTCATCGACCATTAGACGTGCTCACAATCGTGTTTATTCTCTTGAAAATCAATTTTCAAGAATTGGGTTTTTGAGTTTCATTCAGATTAATTATTGCAAATGGCAGAACCATCACGACGTGGATCGAGAGTGTGGAGTTCCAATCTCGAAGTAGAAAAATTTGATGGAACCAATAATTTTGGTGTTTGGCGAGGCGAAGTTAGCGATTTATTGGTCATGCAAGACCTCGATGTCTCTCTCCAAGAGGAAATGCCTGAAGACATGACAGAAGCAGAATGGACGAAATTAAATCGGCAAGCCTGTGGAATTATTCGATCCTGTCTTGGCAAGGATCAGAAATATCCATTTATGAAGGTTACCATGGCGAAAGAATTATGGGACAAGCTTGAAGCGAAATATATGAAGAAGAGTGTGGAAAATAAACTCTATTTGAAGAAGAAACTCTTCCGTTTTGATTACAAGGAAGGCATCTCAATGGCTGAGCATTTGGATGATTTTAACAAAATCATCACTGATTTGCTCAATCTTGATGTTAAGATTGATGACGAGGACAAGGCGTTGTTGTTATTAAACTCCTTGCCGGAATCCTACGAGTTTGTAGTAACGACCCTACTACATGGAATCACTAATATTGATTTTGAAGATGTTTCAAATGCCTTAATAAACAATGAGATGCGAAAGAAGGAAAAGGAGACATATCAAAGCTCTAGCTCAAATGTTCTCACTGCTCATGGAAGGACTTCCAATTGGAAAAAGAACGAATGTGGAGAGCCTCGACTAAAGTCGAGAGGTAGATCTGATAATTGGAGA